GTACCCCCTCCACCCCCTCCCTATCTCTGTCACCTCCTCCGTACCCCTCCACCCCCTTCCTCTCTGCCTCTCTCTCTCTCTCGCCCCTTTAAGGCACTCCCAGAACCAGTAATCTTTAGCCCATCCCTAACATCCCCTCATGTGCCTCTGTGTCAATAGTCTGTGGTGTCACGCCCACCTCCCGCTGCCCGTGGTGTCGCGCTGCCTCAAATGCTGACACACCGCGTCTTTCTCCCTCAGAGCCTCACATCCTGCTGTTCAGGAGACCATTGCCGAAGAAAGAGCTGGAAGGGTTGTGATGTCCCGGACGTTCCGCTGTGCCCCCACCTTTCCCTTCCCCCCCCACCCCTCCAACCTCCACCCTGGACCACCCAGAGCACTCTGACAAAGCCGCTCTGCACAACAGCCCACCCTTCACCTCTGCTTCTAATGGCTCGGGCTCACTTGCGGGCTGAGACTGGCGGAGTGTTTCTGGGGTGGGGGCGGGGACACCAGGAAGACGGACGCTGCTTGATCTCTCGAACTGCTCTTTGCATTTCTTGTCGTGGGATTCCTTCTCGCGATCGAAGACCGTTGGCAAGACAGCCAGGCCTAACCTGCTTCTTCGACGCTATGGAGCGCGGTTGGCATGGATTCTCCTTTCATCCCCCCAAAACAAGGCTTGAGCCAAGGTGGGAGCGTTTCCCGAAGGGCGGCTCGCTTCAGAATTGGTATCAACCAGCCGGAGGAGGGAGCGGGTTCGGAAGACGTGTCAGGGAGGAATTTGCACAGCGCCAGGGCCTGGGGTGTGCTAGAGCAGCGGTGGCCTTGTGATAGGCTGTCAATAGAGGGGCCGAGCTGCTTCCACCTTCAGCCGCGCCCTGCCCCGACCTGACTTTTAACCTTGTGATACTCTGCACGCCATGTCAGCCTGATCTCCCTCTGCTGTCTGTCCATGCGAATCGCCAAAATTCCTGCTCAATGTTGGGCAGCGGGGAGACCAATCAGGACTCGACTCCACTTACATGTGACCATTCGGTCTCTCAAGCCTTGACCTGCCCTTTAATCCCCAGTTGGCTCTGGAATCTTTAGTTTTCCTAACAGTGTCCTCCCCTCCTTGAGGTTGGTGGGTTGGGAATCTGCTGTGATGCAAGATCTGAATTGTAGAAACCCCTACAGCAGGCCATTCAGCCCATCAAGTACATGCCAACCCTCTGAAGACCATCCCCATCCCCATCCCCATCCCTGTAATGCTGCATTTCCCATCAATGACCCAACTAGCTTGTCCATCCCCAGGCACTACGGGACAATTTAGCACGGCCAATCCACCCTAACCCGCACATCCCTGGGCACTACGGATCAATTTAGCACGGCCAATCCGCCCTAACCTGCACAACCCTGGGCACTACGGGGCAGTTTAGCACGGGCAATCCGCCCTAACCTGCCCAGTTTTGGACTGTGGGAGGAAACCAGACCACCTAAAGGAAACCCCCACAGACACAGGTTGGTGGTGGGGAGCAGGAATGCAAACGTTCAAACTCTATACAGACCCCGAGGCTGGAATTGAACTCGGGTCCCTGGCGCTATAAGGCAGCAGCGTTAACCACTGAGCCACCATATTTAGTAGTTTTAGTTGAGAGAGAATCTGTCTGCCACTTTACTTCAAAGATCTGCCGTCTCCATTCAATCTTGCCAGTCAACTGCACAATTGGTTCTCAAAGCCAATGTGTCTGTCTTTTTTCCCTTCTGTATGTGTGGAGAGGGGGAAGGGGAAGGGGGGGACAGTAATTACTGACTGCTGTAAAATGCACCTGGACTTTAATTTGACCTTATTGCTGCTGCTCATTTTTGTGAGACACTCTCTGTACCTGTAGGAGCAGAAAGTAGGCCATTTGGCCCATCGAGTCTGCTCTGCCATTCAATGAGATCAACTTCGCTTTCCTGCCTGTTCCACCCACGACCCCTCGATTTCCCCTTCCAGGTGGAATCCTTGACCACGTCATGTGGCTGTAGGTCTCACTGTGGCCCCCCCACAAGTGTGGCCCAACTTTTTATTGAACCCTGTCAGGGTTAAGACCACACCCTGCTCCTGGGGCAACCCCCAGTCAATTCACTGACAGGACTCCATAGATCCTGGGCCCTGGAATGTAGTGTACCCCTACACCTACAGCTCATGCATTGTAATCTCCTGTTTTCATAGCTTTTGGTACATGTTTATTGTGATCTGTCTTTGTATTTTTAATAAATCTTTAATGACCATTCTTTAGTTTTGGAGCATTATTGTACATGTGTACACGTCAGACGGAATCTTGTCAGCAATGAATCTCTCTTGCATGGCATTTAATGGCATATTTTACAGACTTCGGTGAGTTTAAGGTCTGTCAGATTATGCTGGGTTCCTGATCCAGTTCAACGGAGACATTGAGCAAAGCCATTGAAGGGCACCACCCTACCTCAGCGCAGTCACTAGGTTCCAGGTCCAAGCAATGTTTCAGGGCTTAAGGTACGCAGTCCAGGCTGAGTCTTGAGTACACTGAGGCTCAGTGCTGAGGGTGCGCCGCACTGTCGGAGGCTCAGTGCTGAGGGAGCGCCGCACTGTCGGAGGCTCAGCGCTGAAGGAGCGCAGAACTATCAGCATGTTTCACATAGTTCAGGTACTCCTGAAGCCTTCCTGATGGCCTGTGCTACTTGTTTTAGCTGTCTGAATATTATGATATCTGACCACAGTGTTGTAGTAATGCAGAATCAGATTTTTGATTTGATTTATTGTAGTCACGTGTACCTAAATGCAATGAAAAATTTTGTTTGCAAGCAGTACAGGCAGGTCATAGCAAACAAGGACGTACAGATCATAGGGTGCTTAGACAAAGTGAGGCATACAAGGTTACACTGCACAGGAGGTGCACAAAGCCAGATCAACATTATTTGAAATTGGAGAGGTCCATTCACCAGGAAGAAGCTGTTCTTGAACCTGTTGGTGCATGTGTTCAAACTTCTGTCTGATGGAAAAGGTTGGAAGAGAGTATTACGGGGGTGGGAGGGGTCTTTGATGATGCAGGCAGCCTTCCTGTGGCAACGGGAAGTGTAGATGGAGTCAATGGATGGAAGGTTGGCTTGTGTGATGGTCTGGGCTGTGCACACAACTCTCTGTAGTTTCTTATGGTCCTGGCCAGAGCAGTTACTCTACCAGGCCATTATCCTCCCGGACAGTATGCTTTCTATGGCACATCTGTCGAAACTGGTGAGGGACCTTATTGGACATGCCCAGATTTCCTGAGCCACCTGAGGAAGAAGAGGCGTTGTTGTGCCTTCTTGACTGTCACATCTACGTGGGAAGTCTAGGGGATAGGTAGTCGGTTATCATCACTCGGAGGAACTTGATGCTCTTCACCCGCTCAACCTCAGTTCTGTTGATGTGCATATTCTCCTCCTTTCTTTCTGAAGTTGATGATCAGTTCTTAGTTTTGCCAACGTTACGGGTAACTTTTTGACACTGAGGGTGGTGCGCGTATGGAACGAACTGCCAGAGGAAGTGGTGGAAGCTGGTACAATTACAACATTTAAAAGACATCTCTATGGGTATATGAACATAGAACATAGAGCATTACAGCGCAGTACAGGCCCTTCGGCCCTCGATGTTGCGCCGACCTGTGAAACCAATCTGAAGCCCATCTAACCTAAACTATTCCATTATCATCCATATGTTTATCCAATGACCATTTAAATGCCCTTAAAGTGGGCGAGTCTACTATTTTTGCAGGCAGGGCATTCCACGCCCTTACTACTCTCTGAGTAAAGAACCTACGTCTGACATCTGTCCTATATCTATCACCCCTCAACTTAAAGCTATGTCCCCTCGTGCTAGCCATCACCATCCGAGGAAAAAGGCTCCCACTGTCCACCCTATCTAATCCTCTGATCATCTTGTATGTCTCTATCAAGTCACCTCTTAACCTTCTTCTCTCTAACGAAAACAGCCTCAAAACCCTCAGCCTTTCCTCATAAGACCTTCCCTCCATACCAGGCAACATCCTGGTAAATCTCCTCTGCACCCTTTCCATGCTTCCACATCCTTCCTATAATGCGGTGACCAGAACTGTACGCAATACTCCAAGTGCGGCCGCACCAGAGTTTTGTACAGCTGCAACATGATCTCATGGCTCCGAAACTCAATCCCTCTACCAATAAAACCTAACATACTGTATGCCTTCTTAACAATGAATAGGAAGGCTTTAGAGGGATATGGGCCAAATGGCACTAGAACAACTTAGGATATCTGGTTAGCATAGACAAGTTGGATTGAAGGGTCTGATTCCGTGCTGTATATATACACATATATGTTTTCCTTTATTGGTTTATGGGATGAGGGCATCACTGGCTCGGCAGCATTTATTGCCCATCCCTAATTGCTCAGAAGGCAGTTCAGAGTCAACCACATTGCTGTGGGTCTGGGGTCTCACTTTAGGCCAGACCAGGTAAGGATGGCAGTTTCCTTCCCCAGTGAACCATTAGACACTTAATTCCAAATATTTGTTGAATTCAAATCCACCATCTGCCTTGGTAGGATTTGAACCCAGGTCCCCAGAATGTTGTCTGGGTCTCTGGATTAACAGTCCAGCGATAATACCACTAGGCCATCACCTCCCAGCGATGTTGCTATGACTCTATGATAGATAAATTTTTGTTAAGCAAAGGGGTGTGAGCCAAAGGCAGGTCTATGGAGTTAGGCTACAGCTCAACCATGATCCCTTTGAATGGTGGTACAGGCTGAAGGGGCTGAATGGCCTCCTCCTGTTCCTATGTTGCTTTGATTAACCTTTCAGAGCCACAGTCGTGTTTTTAAATAGCCTGTCATTGCATCGAACCCCATAGACAGTGACAACACAAGTGCAGCAAACGAAAACCATCTTTTGGCGGGGAAACAAAATTGTGAGACAGTGGCTCCACACGGACAAGCTTTGCGGTTGTGCAGGAAGTCTGTGGGGGAATGAGCCCGGGGACGGACCGGATTGTTGGGTGTTGGGGCAAAGCACGTGAGGTAATGAATGGAGGGGGCGCGGCAATACCAATTGACCAATGGACTTGGGCGCTTGCGGTGATGGTCATTCCTACGGCCAATAGGAAGCGGGGAACCTGGCGGGGGCGTGGACAGCTCGTTCGGACGAGAATCTATCGGCGGGATGGGTGAACGAGGGGAGGTATCACGGGCCAATGGGCGTGCGCAGAGGCGGTGATCGGCATGGTGAGGGCCAATGGAAAATGTAGAGCCTGGGAGGCGGGGTGACAGAATGTTCGCACGCGGTGAGCCGCAGACCGGATGTTGATTGGGCGGGTCGGGCCAGAACGGACCAATGGACTTGCGGAGAGACGGTGACGGACACCGCATGAGCCAATAGGAAGTGTAACCATGGGCGGGTGGTAGCATGCGCGGATGTGGTGATGTCGGACCGGAAGGTGGCCCCGAAAGTGGGTCGTCACCACGGACCAATGGGCGTGCACAGAGACGGTGATGGACATGGTTAGGACCAATGGAAAGGGTCGCTTCGGGGTGACGGAGGGGCGGGGTCAGAAGATGAGCAGGTTTGGTTGACGGCGCAGGTGAGTCTTGAACCAGGGAGATGAAGCGGGTGATGGGGCGGCCCTGAAGACTCCCAAACATTTCTCCTTCATTTACCCCATCGCAATGCCACTCCTTAGGCATTCCCCTTGTCGGGCGGGAAAGCTCTGAGAGCGCTCAGTAAAATCTCCTGATTTTTCAACCCCTTTCCCAATTGGCACAACCTTGATCTGATTGAATGGCAGAATTGATGGGCTGAGTGGCCTCCCTCTGCTGTTTTGGTGTCCACTGGCTGAGCAGATGGGGCTCAACCCTGAAAAAGTATGAGGGTAGAGCATTTTGGGGAGGGGTGGCTCAGTAATTTTGATTTGGTTTTGATTTTATTGTCACATGTCCCTAAATACACTGAAAAACTCTGTTTTTTTTT